TCGGATCCGAAGTCTTTTGCTATCTTCGGGATTACTATTGTGACGTTTGATTAGCATCAACAGCAGCTGCAGGTGTCTTCCCCTTACCACGGGAGACGAAGCTTGAATTTGGAGGGTTAGCCATCGGTTGGCTTCTCTCGGCTTTCTTTCTTTTTATTGAGTCCTGATTGACACCTCGGCATCATCATCAAAGAAGTGAGCGAGGAACAGGTTCTCCAGGTCGTCCCAGCTATTGATGCTTTCAAACTTGAGACGGTGGTACCAATCGAAGGCGGGCCCGCGAAGGGTGCCAACAAATGATCGAACCATCAAGACTTCATTTCCGAAGATCATATCCAAGTGAGACTTAAAGTAGATCAAATGCTGAGGGGCGAATCCTTCTCGTCGAACGGCGTGAAGTTGATCAGGTTGAACTTCGCCAGATACGGGGTCGAATCCCACTCTCTCGGGTAAGGACACGGAATCCCGGTCTTCTTTATCTCTCGATCAGACATCAGAGCATTGACTTTTCTCTTGAGGTCCTTCATCTTGTTGTCCTCGTCTGTATCATGCTTCAGACGATTTGTGAGAGGAACAACGGGGCCACACCTAATGTTGTTATCATTGGCGGGACCACCCCCGGTGTTATTGTCTTCAGTGGGGCCACCCCTAGTGTTCTGGTCAACGGGAGGGTTCTCAGCATTGAGACGTTCATCCACATCTGAATCGCTACTTGCTTGGTCAGCAAGGTTATGGCGGCTGGATTCACCGAACTTATTGGACAGAGCCCGAATTTGTTGGTCATGCTCTTCCCTCATCTATAGCATAGCTATTTCCATTTCAATCTTGAATGACTCTTTCTGCTTGGTTAGAGCATCCTCGAGAATTCTGGCGATTTGCTCGGTGCTAATCATGAATGCCTCGTGGGATTGTCCTGGGCTGGACACCATTTTGTCAGAAGTGACTGCAGAGTTGGCATCTGATGCTTCATCATCCGAGAATAATCCCCTTTGTATTCTCTGATAATCTCTCTGTCTAATTGTTCCCGATCGCAACCGGGTTAGACGATGTGATATAAGCGGGTCAGAGCTAAAAGGTCGAATCGACTTTTCCTTATCAGCCACATTAACTGTGAGTGTGGATTATTTTGGTCTGACCACTTCCAGCTGGAGACGAGACATCAGTTGGGCTATTCCCGAGTTAACTTTTCTTCCTGGAGAAAAGTCAGGCTAGAATCACTCGAAACAATCAGGGATTTTCCCTTATTGACCATATTGATTAAACTTCCGAGAATTCATCATCTCGAACAACCGATCATTTCTTGCGAAAGCACTTTGGTTTAGACTAAGCCGTTTCGTTAGAGATCCTCTCGAATACTGAGACCCTCTGCGGAGCGGTCTTGGGGCAGCTACATACTGATAATACTGCCCTAATAAGCTCGGTGCACGGGTAATGAGATTTTGTTTCCCGGGTATTTCTCTTTTGAGACTTGTTCGTACCCCTAACCTGATAGTACAACTCGTCAGTCAAATGACCGGAGCAAGCTATCATGTGTTGGCATGACTCCCCTGGTATAATATTGTCATTGTCAGATGAATACGTTTCTTTCAGGGGATTTGCTGTCTTGTTGGCGTTCTCAAGAGTCACGCGTTTAGAGTCATGCATTTGTAAGCGTGAACTCTCGACGGGCTCTTGGACTTTACTTCACCGTCCGAGGTAGTCAATTATAGGAGTTTTCCGTGTGTGACCCCCAGCTCGAGTAATTGCTCGGGATTCAGTCACCTGACCCAAGCGTTCTTTGACCGGGGCTTTGCCTCGACCTGCGTGCGAAGAATTAAGACAATCTGTGATCTTCATCTTGAATCGGGACAAATCCACACTGTCGCGGTGCTCCACCGGAGGTGCCGAACTCGAAGGGATCGACGAAACAGGTGCAGAACATCTTCTGTCTTGACTCTGGCGCAGGTTAGATTTGAGTGATCCGCGGGTTGGAGGGTCGGATCCGGGTGACCTGCGGGCAGGAGGGTCAGATTTGGGTGACCCGTGAGCAGGAGGGTCGGATCTGGGTAACCCGCGAGCAGGAGGGTCAGATTGAAGTGACCCGTGTGTAGAAGGGTCGGATTGAAGTGACCCGCATTTTTTGATCTCTTCGGCCGCCGTCTTGGACTTTGGCCTCCTTACTTTATGCAGTATTGGTTGTTTCTTGGCTATGTCCTTCTTCATCTCGTGTGCCTTTTGCATAAGAATTCACGCGTGCGCAAGTGCGTGGCGCTTTTGGATTCGCTCCTCCAGAGTTGAACGGATCCTTTTGACTTGGATCCATTAACTTGTTGATGATTTGGAGGAGGGGGCGTTTGCTCACTGTTGAGTCGCTTGATGCTCCTTGAATTTCAGATCCGCCTCGTAACGGATCCCGTCTATCAGCTCCAAAGCCTTAGCAAGCTAACGCATGAGGCGTTGACGTCACCTTTGACGTGCCCTCTTCAATAGGATTGGCGCGCCTTTAGTACTCAACTCCTTGATTGAGGAGGAGTTCAGATCTGTAGATCCGGCCTCGTTGGAAGCTAGAGGGGCGTTGCAAAGTGAGAGGGCAGCAGCAACGGGTGCCTTGACCTTCCTGCGCTTACGAAGGGCGGAAGATCTGGAGGAGGACGACAGATATTTCTCGAACTTCAATTGGTCGAACTCATATTCAACCACTTCTTCAACCGGGATGCAGATCCGAGGCTACGACACGACAGCTTTGGCAATAAAGCTGTTGGCTACTACTATGGTCGCCAGTTTGTTTTCGTCAAAAGTTGATGTTTTCATTGCTATCGAATCTATTACAACTTTGGTCATTATAATAAACTCGAATAAAATAAAAAGTTAATCTTTTTATAAGATCTTCTTACACAATGAAAATAAAAAAAATTATAACTTTATCAAACAAACGTAGAGAGATCGTTTATCAGTCTTCTGCTTGTGCGGGATCTTTACCTGTGTCGGGGACGTTGATATCCGTGGACCGTCACGGATCAGATCCGGTTGATGGAAAATTAGACAAAGCTTCGCCTTCACCGAATGAGTATTTGATTGAAGCGCTAAAATCGACCAAGCAAAATCAGTAGCTCTTCTCGAGATTAAGACAAAGCCTAATCTCAAGGAACGGATGTACGAGCTTTAGATCATTCGAATAGCTCCTTCTTTATGCTGGAGTTCGCTGGGATCTCGCTAACCCTCGCTAAAATTCGTGACCCTTGGCTCTGGAATTCGACAGCACCTCCTCGTCTTGATAATAAATCGCCCCCTGTGAAATGAGCCCCTACCTGTACTTATAGGCTTCGGTTGGGGGGTTTTTGGATAAGAATGAGTGATTTGGGCTTATCTTCAGTCAATAACGGCCTAACCATATTTGTAGATGATATCTAGGTAGTTAGAAATCTCTAGAATAGAAAAAACCGATCGAAACAACCTAAAAACTCATTTTGGAGGTTACGGGTAGTTCTGGGCGTGAGACGGACTGATCCG